ACACCCAAAAATGACTCGCAGTGGTGCATTTGTACCCTCCCTTGGCCTTAACAGCCGTTATTGGAAGCACCTGTGCTGCCGCCACCACCTGTAACGCGCTGCTAGGTGGAGGAAGAGGTGGCAAAATGGCGGCAGGGGCTGAGGGGAACTTGGTGCCCATATCCACCCCCAGCCCAGTAATGGGATATTGGGGGCACCCCAAAATCCCAGAGAAACCTTTATGTGAGGTGCTCAAACTCACCTGTACAGCTGAGAGTGCTGTGAGGGGTAAGGCTTATGGCTTGGGGAGCCACCCTCTGTCTTTTGGAGGTGAACAAGGGGGTTTTGGGGAGGTGTGGGACCTCAGGAATTGTTTGGGGTGTCCAAAGTGGGTTTTTGGGTGCTCTGGAGGGTTGGGGGTCTCATATAGTGTCAGAATGGGGCATTGGGTGCTATAGGGATTAAAGAGGCTGTGGAGGTGGAGTGCTCTCAATAATGGGGTGCAGCCCCAATGCTGAGCACTCCTCTTGACCCCAATTTTGAGGTTCTTTAGGTGGCTGAGCATTAAATCTGTAAAAACTGGGTACCCTCTATCATAGGGGAGTTCTACAACCCCACTCACCCCCCCCAAAAACCTCCACATTTCAACCTCCTACTCAAGAGACCCCTCAAACCACACCTACAGCACCCCTGTTCCTCTAGATCTTCTATTTCTAAAACAGAGCATTTTTTAACCACGTCTCAATTAAATACAATATTTTCATTTAATTTGTAGGTGCCTCAAAACTGCATGGCCGCCTCCAAGGTCTCCGACAGCTTCGTGGCGATTTTCTCTGTGGGATGGGAGTGATCGGGAATTTGAAGGGAGGTGGTCAGGGAGGTTTGGGAGGGGGGGTCAGGAAAATGGGGTGTGTTCACTTACGTGCTCTTTTTTGCAGTTTTTTCCTCCTTTTTCCAGCTGCCTGCAGCCCCTGCCCCTGGAATAGAGGGGGGAGTGCAGCCACCTCCTCCAGGCTGGGGGCTNCCAGGCTGTGAGGTCGAGTCCATCTTCCTCAACATCGAGGCCGTGAACACCCACCGGGCCCGACCCCAGGTGAGAGCCCCCTCCCCAAATCCACCCCAAAACCAGCTTGCAGACCCCAATAAAATAACCCCCCCCTAAATAACTTTGGGGGGGGGTTAAATTTTGGGGAAAATCCCCCAAAACCCCAAATTTTCACCCCACAGAACGTCGACATCAACCGAACCGCAGCCGACGCCCTCAACACCGTCCCCGAGCATTTCTGAGGGGAAAAGGGGAGCCCCCACCCCAAAATTAAAAATTAAACCTTGCACAACCCAGCCTGGACATTTTGGGGGGATAATTTTATTTTTTGGGGGGCTAATTTTATTTTTTAGGGGGCTAATTTTATTTTTTTTAGGGGGGTTCAGGTGTTGGCTTGGCTGGCCTCAGCCTCGCTGAACTGGCTCGCCCAAAATGTGGGGTCTTTGCCTTGCATCTAAATGGAGGAAAAATAAGGGGAGGGGGCATCAAATTGAGCCCCCCCAAAACTCAGAGATGCCCCCACCCCCCCCTCCAAAAAAAAAACCCCACAGACTCACCTTGGCCACAAAGTTCAGCACATCCTTCTTGGAGGTTTCCTTTTCTGCCCGTGGTCCCCACTGGAATTTGAATTCTGGGGGGTCCGTCAGGGGGGTGGGGGTGATCTCCAGGTACCTGGAAAAGGTTGGGTTGGGTGAGGACCCCTCCCCAGCAGGTTTTGGGGTGCACAAAGGGGGTGTCCAGCTCTCCCCTGACCCCATGAGGGACCCTTTAAGGCACGGGGTGTGTGGGGGATTTGCAGGTTTTGCTCTGCGGTGTGGTATAAACAGCCCGGCCAAGCTGGAGCTGAGGCTGCTCTGGGCACACCGGGATGGATGGAACCCCTAAAATCCCCCCCAAAATTCTCCCTTTTCCCCTCCCCAACTCACTTCTGCCTCACAAACTCCTCTGTCACCAGCTTCTTGACGTCCCCAAAGACGCTGTGCTCCTTCCTGAGGATTGGGGGATAAGTGAGGGGTGGCACTGTCCCCCACCCCTGTCCCTGTGTGTCCCCAAATCCTACCCTGGGTACACACGGAGCAAATGCAGGAATTCCCACAAAGCACCTGGAAAAAAACTGGGGTGTCAGTCAGCAAAATGCAAAGGGAAAGTGGGGTAAAATGAGGGGGGTTTGGGGTAAAACTCACTGTCTTTGACTGAGTTGCCCTTCATGAAGATGAAGCTGAGGATGACAAGGAGGAGCCCATTCTTCTCCTTCTCCTTGGCCCTGTGGGTGGCATTGGGGTGTCACCCGTGTTGGGGGGACACCCTGAGGGGGTTCAAGTCACCCAGGTCCCCCTCTCACCTGTACGGGTGCTGGCCCTCAGCATGAGGCAAATTATTAATAAGAATATAAATGTGACGTTTGGTGTCCATCTCCACCAGCTGCAGCCCGAACACCTGAGGGAGACAAAGAGTTAATTAATTAATTAACTAATTAATCCACAAAGTATTTTCTCTCAAAAACTGTGCTTTCCCCACCTCCTGCAAGGTCCTGTCAGCTCTTTTGACAATTTCTGAGTAGGCATTTTTGTATTCTCGGATTATATTCTTCAGTATGTCTGCAAAAAACAGGCAAGGAATGCTGAGAGAGCCTGGAGCACCCAGAAAAGCTTTAAACACCGAGGAAAGGGATTCCCCTAAACGTACCTGCCCTTTTGATAGGAATTTTCTTCTGGTCTTTCACAAGTAGGAACTGCACCAGCTCGCTCACCTGTGGGGGAATGAGCAGGGCTGATATCAAAAAAACGTAGATACAGAAATCCGGGAGTGGGTACAAAGGGAATCAACCTCAATCCACCTTCTGGTTCACCTGGTCCTGGGATTGCCGCTTCACCTGGGTGGGGATGGAATCATCCTCCCCATCGGTCATCTGAGTGGAAAACTAGGAGAAACGAGGCAATTTGATGATAGGGAAGGGACCAAAACCGAGAAGGGAGACTAAATGAAGGGAGAATGGGTGTGAGGGAAGCAGCCACTCACCTGAGAGGCGCCGAGCCCTTTGCTGCGCTTCCGCTGCGACATTTCGCACAGCAGTTCTGAGAGGAAAACAAGCACCGGGAGGGCTAAAACCGCGACGGGAGAGCCTCTAAGGCCGCCTACCGCGTCCTACCCTCAGCAAGGCCGCAGAAATTCCCTCAAGGCCCGGCCAACGTCCCAGCCCGGCCNGGTGAGTGTCAGCCCAAAATGGGGACAATTCGTCACAAAATGGGGTTTGGGTTCCTCTCAAAAAATGGGGACAATTTCCCCAAAAAGTGGATTTGTGTCCTTCTCAGAATGGGGACAATTCCCCCAAAAAGGGGGTTTGTGTTTCTCTCAGAATTGGGGACAATTCCCCCAAAAAAGGGGTTTGTGTCCCTCTCAGAATGGGGACAATTCCCCCAAAAAGGGGGTTTGGGTTCCTTTCAAAAAATGGGGACAATTTCCCCAAAAAAGGGGTTTGGGTTCCTTTCAGAATTGGGGACAATTCCTCATAAAAAAGGGGTTTGGGTTCCTTTCAGGAATGGGGACAATTCCCCCAAAAAGGGGTTTGGGTTCCTCTCAGAAATTGGGGACAATTCCCCCAAAAAGGGATTGTATCCCCCTGTGTACCACCCCAAAATGGGGACAATTTCCCCCAAAAAGGGGGTTGGTGTTTCTCCCAGAAAATGGGGACAATTCCCCCAAAAAAGGGGGTTTGTGTTTCTCCCAGAAAATGGGAACAATTCCCCCAAAAAAGGGGTTTGGGTTCCTCTCAGAATGGGGACAATTCCTCCCTAAAAAGGGGGTTTGGGTTCCTTTCAGAACTGGGGACAATTCCTCATAAAAAAGGGATTTGTGTCCCTCTCAGAATAGAGACAATTCCCCCAAAAAGGGGGTTTGTGTCCCTCTCAGAATGGGGACAATTTTCCCCAAAAGGGGGTTTGGGTTCCTTTCAAAAAATGGGGACAATTTCCCCCAAAAGGGAGTTTGGGTTCCTCTCAGAATAGGGACAATTCCCTCCAAAAAAGGGGGTTTTTGTTTCTCCCAGAAAATGGGGACAATTCCCCCAAAAAAGGGGTTTGGGTTCTTTCAAGAATTGGGGACAATTCCCCCAAAAAGTGGATTTGTGTTCTTTCAAGAATTGGGGACAATTCTCCCTAAAAAGGGGATTTTTGTCCCTCCCAGAAAATGGGGACAATTCCCCCAAAAAGGGACTGTCCCCCTATGTCCCACCCCAAAAAGAGGACAATCCCCTTGTGTACCACCCCAAAATAGGGACAATTCCCCCCCAAAAAAAGAAATCCCCCCAGAAAATGGGGACAATTCCCCACAAAAATGGGATTTGTGTCCCTCCCCAAAATGGGGACAGCGGACTGTTCCCCATGTCCCACCCCAAAATGGGGACAATCCCCCCAAAATGGGGACAATCCCCCCAAAATGGGGACAATCCCCCCAAAATGAGGACAAT